AATGATTAGAGAAAGGGAAGGGAAAGGTGGAGAGGGGGAGGATATGAAAAAGGAGTAGGAGGAAGATATGAATATGAGAAGGAGGAGGAGGAGGAGGATATGGAAAAGAAGGAGGGGGAGGAGTTGAGAAGTGTGATATAAAAAAAGAGGAGGTGGAGAGGACGAGAATGACGAAAAGAAGAAAAGGAAATATGGGAAAAATAGAAATGAAAAGAAGCAGAAAGACGAGAAGGAAAAGAAGAGGAAATAGGAGAAGGAAGAAAGATGGAAAGAAAAAAGGAGAAAAGGAAGAAATACGGTGTAAAAGTTGGGACAGAGTAAAAAATACGGCTCTTAGCGCTAAGGTCATCTGCAGAGTGGTAGTGGGTGGAGAGAGAGGAGAGGGAAGGGAGGAGGATGAGGGGAGAGGGAGGGAGAATCTGGGGGGAGCAGGAGGCAAACACAGGGGGTGGGAGAAAGGAGGGGGGAGGAGGAAAAGGAGAGAGAGCCAAGAAACCAAGCCCAGGAAGTACGAAGGAGGGAGGGAAGGGAGGTGGGATAGGAGGGAGGGGGAGGCAGGGGGAGGGAAGGAGGCAGGGAGGAAAGAAATGACAGAGGCAAGCACTGGAGTAAGAGGGACTGGGGAAAGAGGAGGAGGGAGAGGAAGGAATGGGAGGCAGGCAGGGGAGGTTAGGAAGGAAGGAAGAAAGAGAAGGAAGGAGGAGGTGGGGAGGCAGAGAAAGAGGCAGAAATGCAGTGGAGACAAGAGGGGCTGAGGAAAGGGAGAGGGAAAGAAGAGGGAGAGAAAAGGGAGAAAAGATCGAAAGGAGGAAGAGGCAGCATAGAAAAAGTGCGGAGAGGAACAAGACAGCATAATTGAGGGGGTTTACCTGGAAGGAACAGACAGGCGTAAAATGAGCGCGATAAAAGGTGATTGACAGTGCAATGGCGGAGAATGAATTCAAAGCGACGAAGATGAGGAGAGGGTAAACTATCACTCCATCAAAACTCAAACTTTATAATCAGCAAGAATTTTACAGATCTTTTTCCCCTTACTTACTGGTGATGATAGCGCGGTGCAATTAAACCAGCGCCGTGCAAGAACATCGAGCACCACACAAGCTGTGGTCTTTACTTACACCATCACCACAACCGCCAACCTAAACAATGAGTCAGGCTTAATTAAAACTCGTACATCTCAGCTTTAGTGATCCCCAAATAAGTAGAAAATTACATAGAAAAGTTTATTTAGCTCATCCAGGCGCTGCGCACAGATGGTCATATGAGCTCTGTACTTATAATAATTCAAGCTGACACATAAATAACGCTTTTTAAAAACTATGAATAATAGTTTTGTTCTGCTTCGGTACTTAAAGGTACGTCTCCCAACTGTAAAGGATATGGTAATGTTTATTAACGCATGTTATTGAATAAGATATGATATTATCGATCAAGCCTAAACATTCAATATTTACTATAAGGAAAATTATTAATATTCATGCCCCGGTGAGCTGACTCGAAAATAAGGTCCATGAACAAGAACTCATATTTTTAGAAAAAAAATGCTGTGCGTCGTAATGGGAGCGCAGTATTTGTAGATCAGTATCGAGGAACATTCAGTTTGCGTCCATTAATAGAGAACATATTCTTTGTGGGTCGGTAATGAGAACATTTAGTTTCTGCATATCCAGTAATGAAGAATATTTGGTTTCTGCCTGTCGGTATGAGGAACATAGAGCGATACACATACAGGAAGAACAAACACACTTACATTAACTCGGTAACATAAGGTAAGAATTAAGTAGCCTGTTGTGACCCTCGACCCTGGTCATGTTTGGGGGTTGTGGCCGCCTGACGTGTGGCAGGAGCCTCGGTGCCAGGCTCTCAGTCTGGATTGTTAACACACAACTACAAGAACTATGAGCCACAGAAATGGCCTTTTACAACAGGAGAAGCTGGTGAGAGAGTTTGGTGTTCCTAATGGCTATATCCAAAACAGACATACGGACGCCAGAGGTCTGTCTCTTACATAATTGTCACCACACTGTCGGTTTAGAAGCTAAAACTGAACCAGTTACTAAGGGAACATATTTAGCTTTGGTGACAGCTGGAAACCCATGTGATGTTTATATTGGTAAAAAGCCGCAGTTGTTTAAAGATGGTAAAAACAGAAGGTGACGTCATAGTAATTAACCTTCCATTTAGCTTTTAATTCATCCTCTCATTTTAGTAGTGAGCGTTGTTCAAAGACCTGAAAAAAATTATATTTATTTTTTGGTTTTGCACTCAGAAATGAGGGAGGGGAGGGAAGGGAGAGGGTGGGGGTAGGGAATAAGAAAGATGGCAAAAGAGTCTGAGAAATGTCACCATTTTTGGACGCCATCTGGAGCGGCAATTAAACACTCAATCATCTCTACAGGTAATATCCATCTTATAAGTGGCAGTGGAGCCGTTTAAGGCTCAGGTCTAAATTCTCAGTCCCCAGCTGATTCATGAATTCGTTTAAGTCTCCCTACTTTAGAATTAACTGGAGCTGGCTATTCAAGGTATAATCCCAGTAAGATTTCGAAGCTATTTTGGCGGCCGTTTTAGTGTTGGGCTTTACTGGCACCCTGGTGGCTGGCCACCTGTCTCACTGCAGCCCACTTGACTCCTCCAAATTGCATCAGAATATTAAAGGTCAATTCCATATGTTTTCTTGTTTCGTGTCACTCTGGGTAGGTCATAACATAGATAAAAACATAAAGAACATTTTTTCCTCATATTTGGAGGCCAAGGAGAGAGGGAGGAGCTCAAACAGAGAAAGCCACACCAGGTAGGTCCTCAGGATTAGGATTCAGGCTCAGATTATGGCATAAACGCGGTTACTACAACATACCTGAATGACATATGCTACTGACCTACACCACCTTTGAGACAGAGCCCTACAAATACTACCTTCAGAGACAAACTACCAAATACCACCTTCAGAGAATGACCTACACCACCTTTAGAGACCAAACTGCAAAATACCAGGATAGACCTACAAATACCACCTTCAGAGACAAACCTACAAATCACCACATTGAGGACCGACACAAAAAATACACGCTGAGACCAAAGCCTACAAATACCACCCTCAGAGGCCGACCTACACCACCCTCAGAGGCCGACCTACACCAGGAAACTTATCACAAACTACCATGAAACCTTAGTGGAAGTTTTCAGATGATAAGACATGGAGAATTAATCATCCTTACAACAATTACAGACTTCATGCAAGATAAACACAGACTTCAGACGAATATTTGAAAGACAGCCTTTTAAGCAAACATTTACGTAAAGTTTTAGCATATTTGACTCGATGGTTCTTGAGACGTGGAAAATGTTAAGTTTTTGGGAGGGAAAGACAGACAGATGCCGCAGTAAAGAGAGATACATACAACACTACTCACTAACTCACTGGTCAACTGGGGATTTCAATCCTTAAATACACAAACGAAGATAAAATTCACACACCTGTAAAATTTATCATTATTTTTTTTTTCAAGGTAAATTTCACTATCTGTACAACCCAAGCTGATTATTGAGAAAAGCCATCGTGACATAGCTAAGCATTTGATTTAAATATTAAAGAATCCTCACCCAATATGTACAGTATGAAGTTTACTAAGCTAGTCATTTTTTTTTTCGTCAAACCTGTGAGAATAAATAAGTTTTTTCCCCTGGAATTGTCTGTCTGTGTGTTGGCAGCGATTGCTCCCTCATCACACGTCTATTGAAGAAATATAAAGAAAATAGACCCATTGTTCGCCCCTACCTTCATCAGCTGATCGATTTGTTATTGTCTCCCAACGAGGACTGACGGTCCAGGTGGGAGAGGGCTGAAACAGAGGAGGAGGAGGGGGCTGTTGTGTGGGGTGGGGGCTGAAGGAGACGAAAGGTGGTGGTAAAGGGCAAGTGCAAAAGGGCCTGGAAGGGAATGTAGGGGACTGAAGTGAAAGAGGGGGGCTGGAAGAGAGGCGAAGGGGAGGAAAAGGAAGAGGGTTAGATGGAAGGAGAGATGCGGTAGGAAAGGGGCAGGAAGGGAGATGTGGCGAGGTTATGTGGCGGGAAAATGGGGCTGGAGGGAATAAAAGAAGGGGTTGGGAGAGGGAATAGGTGGATGACCTGTTAAATCTTTTATAAAAAATATACGACATTGATCATATATCATGCCACTTGTTGTGAGTCTTATATATCATGACATGTATTGAGTCTTATATATCATGACATGTATTGTGAGTCTTATATATCATGACAGGTATTGTGAGTCTTATATATCACAGGTTCAATATATATTAATTAATTTGTTACTATTTTACACAATTTCGTTCCACCTCGATAAAATAAAAGCGAAAATAAAGTGATTTTAGTTGATAACAGATACCACTTTCTGACTAAACGTTTCAGGTAATAGTGATATCATTTCTTTGGGTGGTTGTACTAATTAAATATACACATTAGTTCCAACGAGCGTTTTCTATTAGTAGTTTTAGACCCATTTTCTATGAATATTCTCCAGGGGTAACATTTATCGTGGATGAAGAACCGCTGGAATGGGCGTAGACTTGGATACTACTAACTCTCTCTTGCACTTTATCTCGTGGGCTCATCAGCTTAAGTGGATCTGGCGGACGGCTATGTGTCTCTGTCTCTCTCTTAACGTATCACGTCTATGTGTCTCTTCCCTGTCGTTAAATCTGTCCCTAATTCGTCTCTCTGTCCTTCATGGAGTTTGCTGAGTCCTCTAAGGCATTTTGGCTTCAGCTGTAATACGACTTGGTTTTTTTTTATTGTTCTTGTTTTTTTTATGTTTTTTTCTATTTTCTGTTTCTGACTGTCAATGTATCTCCGATTTTGTCTTTCTGTCTGTCTGTCTGCCTTACCGTCTTTCTGTCTGTATCGCCTCGATCTCGCTTCCTCTGTTTACCCCTCCCTCACACCCTCGTAACTCATTATCGCATTTCCGTAACCACATCCCATTTGTTTCCTCTCTCCAGAGCCTCCAGTGATTGATGACGCCGCAAGCAGCAGTGACTCCACAGTAGACGAGGGCAGTGACGTATTCATGACGTGTGACGCTCACGGAGACCCTCATCCAATCATACGCTGGGTAAGAGAAGACGGGCTAAGATTCAACCTAAACTCCACGCTGAGTGGTGAGTAGGCGACTGCAGTTGTCACCTGATGTTTTTCTTGATATTTTAAAAATATTTTCATCCATACATTGTACAATTTTTTCTCATTCCAGTATTTTTCTTATATTTCCTTTTATTTTCATTCGTGTATATTCCTTAAAAGGTAATTGTGGTGAGATTTATGAAAGGAAATTATGAAGTATTATGTTCGAGCAGGAGAGAATTTTCGATGACAATAACTCATCTAAAACAATAAACCATTACGATAAACAGCAACACGAGGGAGAGAGAGAGAGAGAGAGAGATCTTGGACGCCAGGACGACTCTCTCTCCCTCACACACACAGCCATCACCGACAATACCTCATATACACCTTGTCGATTGCTGCCAGCGGTGGATCGAACACTTCCTGTTGGTTGAATATTGAGTCAGACTAACGGACGGAGGGAAGAAAGGAGGGGAAGAATAAATAGTTAAACGGAAGGACGGGTGAGACGGGTGAGATGCATTGGACGGAAAGACGGAAAAACGGACTGGACGAAAGGACTGAAAAACGATGGGATGGAAAAGCCGATGGAAAGACGGGACAGAAAGACGGGACGGAAAGACGGGACAGAAAGACGGGACGGAAAGACGGGACAGAAAGACGGGACAGAAAGACGGGACGGAAAAAAACCGGAAACATAGGGACTTACAAACGAACGGACATCAAAGACAACTAAAAATGCGATTTTTTATTTAAGATTTGGATTATTCATAGAAATTTTTTGGTTCGTAAGAGTTACTAAAGAATTATAATATTATCTATATTTTTCTTGAGTAAGTGAGAATTTCTTTGTGTAGAGGAATGTGGTCTCACTTCCTCTGTCTCTCACTCCTTCTCTTGCTCTCTCTATCGTAATATCCTTCTCATTCTTGTCCTCTCTACCAGTTTCTCTCTCCATCCCATCCTCTCTTTCTCTACCAATTACTCTCCCATCCCCCTCACTCTCAAACCCTTCCACCCTCCCTCACCCCCCTACCAATGAACTTTCCATCCCCCTCATTCTCTCCCATCCTCCCTCCTACCCCTCTCTTCTTACCACCCAAACTTCCATTCCTCTCACTCTCTCCCACCAATCTCCCATCCCCCCCACAGCCTCCACCGACATCATCATTAAGAATCAAAGTTGTCCCGAAGGCAATTGGGTGGAGATGTAGCGCTCGGGGGTGAATTCTCTTCCCAACGACTCCGAGACCAGAAATTCGAGACACGAGACCTGAAACTCGAGACCCGAAACCTAAATTTTAAGAGCCGAGACCTGAAACTGGACCCGAAACCTGAAATTCGGGACCTGAAACCTGAAACTCGAGACCCGAAACCTGAAACTCGAGACCCGAGACCTGAAACTCGAGACCCGAAACCTGAAACTCGAGACCCAAGACATAAGACCCAACACCAAAACCCAATACCACATCCTTGAAATATTCTTAATCCGACTAAATGTTTTTATTCTCAAATAAACTCATAATATTGTCTTGATGCTCTTGTTCTATTTCGTATTCTGGATTAATGATGTTCCTTGTATATTTATTTTTCATAATTATTTTATCTGTTTCAAGTATATATTTCTCTCATGTGGCTTGAGGATATTTATTTAGCTTTTTTCAATTATTATTATTATTTTTTTTTTAGTTTTTTTTATATTTATGTTTATATGCGGTAGTTAAGTTTATTATTATTATTATTACAAGTCCGGAGATTTCTGAATAATTTTATAAAGTTCTAATGTTTGCCAAACGTCTCCCTAGAAATGTGAAATAGAAATACATTAATCCTTTGACTTTTTATATACCCCCCCCCCTCCCCGTCTCTCTCTTTCACACACACACACTGAAAAAACCCCCACCTTCCCTCCCTCCCTCTCTCACACAGTGCCATCACAACTCTATGTCTTTTCTGTTCCTCTCTCATTCTTTCTCTCTTTCTCTCACCCTCTTTCCACTTATCCCCACTCTCACTAACTCACACACTCACTCACTCAGTCTCATCACAACTCTCTGCCTCTTTCCCTCTCTCATCCACTCTTTTTGTCACCCCTTTCCACTTATCCTCACTCTCACTCACTCAGTCTCATCTCGGCTCTCTGCCTCTTTCCCTCTCCCATCCACTCTTTTTGTCACCCCTTTCCACTTATCCCCACACTCACTCACTCACTTCCTTCTCACAGTGGACGAGTATCTTGGACGGTCTTTGACACTGCAGTCAGTTGACAGGAACGCCACCGGAGCCTTCCTCTGCATAGCCAGTAACGGTGTCCCTCCCACCATGAGCAAGAGGATTCTCCTCTCTGTAAAATGTAAGTGTAAATCGTAAATTGTAAGTGTGAATCGTAAATTGTAAGTGTAAATCGTAAGTTGTAAATGTAAATAGTAAGTAGCAAGTGCGAATTGTAAGTGCAAATCGTTAGTAAATGTAAATCGTATATTGTTAGTGTAAATCGTAAGTTGAAAGGCGTAAGTGTAAATCGTAAGTTGTAAGTGTAAATCGTAATTTGTAAATGTAAGTCGTAAACTGTAAATTGTAATTTGTAAGTGTAAATCGCAAATTGTAAATGTAAATAGTAAGTAGCAAGTGAGAATTGTAAGTGCAAATCGTTAGTAAATGTAAATCGTATATTGTTAGTGTAAATCGTAAGTTGAAAGGCGTAAGTGTAAATCGTAAATAGTAAGTGTAAATCGTAAGCTATAAGTGTAAATCGTAAGTTGCAAGTGTAAATCGTGAGTTGTAAGTAAATCGTAATATGTAAGTCGTAAGTTATAAGTGTAAATCGTAAGTTATAAGTGTAAATCTTAAGTTATAAGTGTAAATCGTGAGTCGTAAATTGTAAGTAAATCGTAATATGTTAAATTGTAAGTAAATCGTAATATGTTAGTCTTAAGTTGTAAGTATACATCGTAGGTGTAAATCGTAACTTGTTGTAAATGTAAGTCGTGAGTTGTACGTCAGGTAAATTGTAAGTGTAAATAGATGTAAATGAAAAAATCCAAGCGTACGATTGTGTGTAAATTGTAAGTTATAGATGTAAAATAATATATTAATATATTTAAGTATCGATCGCATGGGTAAATCGTAAATTATGAAAGTAAAACAAACTAATTGACACCATCTTTCCTCCACACACTCTTATTTAACTCCTCCACCTCTCCTCCTCCTCCTCCAGTTCCTCCCAAAATCGTGAAAGATGGAGGCAGTGGGCGTATAGGCGTGGCGATGGAGGGTGTAGCGAGGATGATTTGCAGGTTCCACGCCTACCCGCTTACAGAGGTGTTGTGGTACAGAGGCCCGAGGGAGGTGAAGGCACACAAGCCAGCGGTCACCATGGACACTACCCATGACCAGGTGAGTGCGTAGAGGTCAGGTCAGGTCAGGTCAGGTCAGGTCGGGTTAGGTTAGGTTAAGTCAGGTTAGGTTAGGTTAAGTCAGGTTAGGTTAGGTTAAGTCAGGTTAGGTTAGGTTAAGTCAGGTTAGGTTAGGTTAGGTTAAGTCAGGTTAGGTTAGGTTAGGTTAAGTCAGGTTAGGTTCAAACTTTCACCTGGTTTTCTTTCTTCTTCCTCTCCTTTCTCTTTGGTTTCATCTGTTGCTTCAATTATTTCTATTTATTATTACCCAATGCCTCTCCCTTCTTTTTTCTCTTCAGTTTTACATAATGGTTGTCTCCTTTCCTCCCTCTCTCTTCTCTTTCTCCTGCCTTTTTTGTTGTACTTTTTCTTCTCTCTTCCTCCTTTCCTATACTCCATTCCTTCTTCTTCTTCCTCCTCTTTCCTCCATCATCGTCTTTACATATTTGCTGTGATACTAAAGTCTTCCTCTTCTCCGCATCTTCCCTTTCTCTCTCCTTCCATCATCATCATCACCTCCTCCTCCTCCTTGCTTCCTGTGACAGTTTGGTCTCCTTGTCCTCCTCTTCAGTTTTTCTCCTCTCCAGTTTTTCTCCTCTCTTTCTCTCTCCACAAACCACCTATTCCTCCCATTTCTTCCTCTTCCCACCCACCTATTCCTCCTCTCACCTCTTCCTCACCCATCTACCTCTTCCTCCCACCCACCTCATCCTCCCACCCACCCACCTCCATCTCTACCCACCTCTTCCTCTCTCCCACTCACCACTTCCTCTCTCTCACCTCTTCCTCACCCATCCACCTCCTCTTCGCTTTAAGCAGGTGGTGGAGTCAGCCAGAGTGGCGTGTTAGTGGAGAAAAAAAACATAACTCACTTAACATAACTTTCACTCACGATCAATATCTTTCAAGCTTTCTCCTGTCTCATCAACTTTCTCTTTTATTTTCTTTTGCTTTTCTCTCTTTTATATTTTGTTTTTATTTTCCTCGTTTCTGTTTCTCTTGTTCACTTCGGATTTGTTCCTTGTTTTTTCCTCGCTTTCTTTTACTTTCTCTTCTTTCACCTCGTTTTATATGGTTAAGTGACATGATTCATTTAGTTGTATTGAATTCCTTAAGAGGGAGTTTACTGTATTATTAATTATGGTCCGGAAGATATTAAGATGTCATAAACTTAATTACTAGAGTCAATAATTACCTGATGTGTGTGTTTGAGTGTGTGTGTGTGTATGTGTGTGTGTGTGTTCCTACATATATAATACTCCTACTACTATTACTATTACTTATCCCACTACTACTACTACTTAAGCTACTACTACTTAATACTACTACTATTAATCTCTTCTCACAGGGGTCCGGACTATGGAAGTCAGTCCTCTCCGTCCAGATACAGAGAGCGAGGGACTTCGGACAATATCGCTGTTTTGTCCGAAATCCGCTGGGCGTGGACGAATTGACCTTCGATCTAATTGGTAAGCTGGACA